AAATTCGTTTTACAAAGTCTCATGCTGAGAAAATGAAGAAAAGACACAGAACAGATGGATTTACTGACATTTAAATCAGTTACATGTGTTTTTGTCAGTACTTCCCCATGCTATCTCACCAGAGTGCCGCCTTAATTGATGGGGAAGCATTCGATGGTTTGAGCTTCCCAAATGTCGGGCTTTGTTTTTCCACTGGTCCTAGTGCCATGAAGTGAATATTTAGAGATTTTATAAGTGAAAAAGTGTAACGATCACATGATTACTCTTAAGTGATGAATCACTGGCTCCGGTCATTGCATGCATGAGCATAATGTACATAACTGTGGCTACAACAGGCTGCAGGAAGAGCCAATTCAGGGGAGAAGCCTTATTTTAGTAGCTCTGTAGGTGAAAATGAAGAAAAAATGTACTGCTCCTTAAATGCCAGGATGCACATTTAACATAAAATGTTATTTAGCCTAAATCCTGCAAGGCTGTGATTGATACTTTATGTGAGAGCGCTGCCACATGTGGTTGGCACCCTACAGCAGGGGTCACCAACTCCAGCCCTTGAGAGCTACTGTCCTGCAGCTTTCAGACACATCCTTGTTCCGACACAATCAAACGAATGGCTTGTTATCAGGCCTTGATAAGATGGTAATCCAGCCAATTGATTCAGCTGTGTTGGAGTAGGGATGCATCTAAAAGCTGCAGGACAGTAGGTCTCGAGGGCTGGAGTTTGACACCTCAGCCCTAAAGCATGATGATAAATCTCTATAAATAACTGGGGGCTTTTATTTTGTGAATCTCACATATTTCCTGAGGACTGTGCGGTATACTGATTGGTGCCGTTCTGCCTGAAGAACTTTCTACTACACCGTTTCACACAAGTGTTTTTTTTGATGCCTCAGACGCCTCTTAATCTTTCGCTGCATCGACCCGACACGTGGGTACATTCCTATCAAAGTGTGCATCATGTTACGCGTAGATTGCCCGCTGAAGCCTAATTCAGGAATCAAGTGTCAGTGTATCACCCCAGATGACTTTAACATGCAGCCTGGAAGACCCAGGCATCACATTGCAGACCGCCCAAATAACAGAGATACCCACTGTGCCTGCTGAGCCCCAGCTGCTCATGTCTCTTTTTGTGAATTTCGGGGACCGACCAGTTTATCGACTGACAAACTGAGCGTTTATCGAAAAACTTCTGTGAGCAGCAGCCCTGATAGCAGTAACTAAATCAGTATTTAGCAGCGCGGTGGCCGGATACTGGGCAGAATTTGCATGTTTCTGACAGCGACGCTCCAGTTTCTCCTGCTATCAAAATGAAATATGCAAAGTTAATGCACCTTATCCTGACCCGGAGCAATTTTACAAAACAGATGTAAATTCAAAGTGTTTTAACTTGCTGATTAAATGAAGGTTAAAGAAAGTAAAAATAATCTGAACCTGGTTAAGCAGCAGAGGA